CAGCTTCATTCCCAAGCTTACTTGTTCTCACCCCAGATTTTTTGGCTTACAAGTATTGTTGAAAACAAGTTCCTTGGTGGACTAGCCTGCTGGCAGCATTCAAATTTCTTCTTGTATTAGAAACATTCATTACTCCAACATGTTTGTCTCTGATTGGGGAACTTGTTCAGCTAACAGCTTCTTTCAATACAAATCTGAGAAAAATAATTCTGAGAATAATTTGCCCAACATGTTCTACAGCATGGAGTCTCTTGTTAGCCCTAGAAAATAGGAATATATCACTTTGACAGTTATCTGGAGAAAGTTAAGTTCCACTTAATAAATCGAGATTTGAATCAGATCCCACCTTCACTCACTTAGTCCTGATAGGCCTACTATACTTTGAAAAGTATTCTATATATATTCCACATGCATAATGTTATTGGCTGTACATTTAGGCACATACTTTTAAGGATTGTTCAGTCTTTCAAAGCATGAGCAGGTGATGAGAATTTTAGTTTAGGTTCTTTCTCTCTTAACTTACTTTTTCCATTTCCCACTCTTCTCACATTTTTTTGTTCTCATCAGCAAGCAGAACCCCAAACTTGTATATAACTAATTAAATGTCAGGCCACCCATAGGTTAGTTTGGGACTTTTGGTCTTGGAAAGAACAGACTGCTCCCTCCAGTGTTTCGAATACAGCATAACGAGATTATATCACCATTTGTGATGTTTGGTCTCTCATGTTTTTTTATCAGTGAGGGTCAACTGCAGTCCTTCGCTCTAGAAACTTAATTTTATTCAATCTAATTTAATTAAGTACACATGATATTGTGTCATATTTCGTGTGCTTTATTTTCATTTGAAAGCCACAGTGACGAAAGCTATGCTTCTTTTCTTAGACTCCCCTTGCCCTCATCTACAGTTTGTACTACATTTCTTTCTCACTACTCTACTACCTGTCCATCTTTCCCATCCAGGTTATGGCAATCCTGGAGCCGGTGGTGTAGGAGCCGGTGGTGTAGGAGCTGGTGGTCGTGGAGCTGGAGGCTATGGAGGAGGTGAGAGTGTACCCAACATTTAGTTGACAGAAGTGTAGAACATTATATTCTCTCTATAAAAACATACATTTTACTACTCCCTCATCTTTGCTGCTTTGTTTCATTCAGGTGGTTATGGTGGTTATGGTGGATATGGTGGATATGGTGGATATGGTGGCGGCACAGGGGGCTTTTTCCCAGGAGCTGGACAGAAGGCTGCTAAAAGAGGTACAGCAGATGGCAGAAAATGTCTTGATAGAAATGTAACAGCATCCTGTAAAGGCAGTGATGGCACAAGTTAATTGGTGCCACGAGTTGAATGATTGGTATATTGATTGGTTGATATTCTATATCAAACCCATAATGGCATCCTTTTCCTTCCAAAGATAAGTCTGTCAGATGGGACAACTTAAGGGCCCTCATGAGCTCCGATTTGACACCCAGTGACATTTATGAAGAAGTACTGCATTTAGCGTCACCCACTCTATGGCAGTCCCCTGGTGTGCTTGGACCAGGTGGAATGGACTTCTCTTACGTCCTTTGCTACTTTGAGTGTATTTATAAATTGACAGATGGAAAGATGTTGTTTTAGCTGACCATACAAGTTGTCATATGTCAAAAACTATGATTTTGAAGATATCAATACACTAGAACATTGCAGAAATCAGACATTTGATTGATTATTCTTATTTTTAACTATGTAAAATTGATGTGCGCATCAATATTTTTAGGAAACATTATCTCTTCCTAATGTTACGATAATGTTTTGTGTGGTTTATTCAGTGCTTTAAGGTTCAAATTGGGGAATAAGTTATCAGTATAGGTAACATCCACATCAACTGGCTATGGTGGTCATCTACCCAGCTGCCTGGTTTAGGAGGTAATCACTTGGAGAAATATTCAGTTTGGTTCATGCTTGCTTCAAGCACTGTCCCACATTAAAAGTAGTTGCTGAGACATGAACATAAAAAAGCACAATAATTAGATTCCTTGGGGATTATTCCCTAAATCTTTTATATTGACGAATACCACTGAAACTCTGGTTGTCGTAATCACAGCTGCAGGAGGCCCTCTGCTACCACATGGAGGTAAGCTGATTCTTGGCCTGATGACAGACTACTGAACAAACTTGACACGAGTTCACATGTGTGAACATTGATAGATCTGCACGCTTTCATGTTATGAGAAAGCCAAAATGAATGTTTTGCATTAATGGTAACTCGGCATGAAAAACACTGTTTGGCAAACACACATACATTTTTATGGTGTACCTGAAAACCTTGGACTGTTTGAAATTCAACAGAGCACAGCCAGACCTCAAAGTCTGTGGCGTACAATGTGATGAGGGTGGAGTGGGATTTAATGAGGGATGTTTGGGTGTATTGGGTTCAATATATTCAAAAAAACATTTTTGTGATGCTAATTTCTCTCTTACTATACTACTGAAATATATGTGTTTACAAAAGAAATAAAGTCTGGGCCGTGTATGTGCACATAATGTACTTGAAATTAGGCAGGCTGATGAAGCAGGGCCTCTGCAGGGCCCGATCATGGCCAAGACTGTACTGTGGCAAAGAGCCTACTCTAAAGTATTAGTTGGCAATGACAAAACTGGAGCTTCTTGAAATCAGTGTGTACTAATTTCATGACACTCAAAATACCAACTAATTCCTACGAAAGAGCACAAATAAGATAAAACATTCCCTCACCAAATCTCCCAGGCCACATACTTAAAGGCAGTGCGCAATGTCTGTCTGGCTAAGTACAGGGAGTTTAAGATAAAAAAAAATGTAAAAAGTAAAAAGTTTAAACAAACACACCAATGTGTTTTATCCTGCTGCCAATACTCCCTTACAAGTGAAGCTGACGGCTCATTTCCTAAATGAGGGGATAGCCAAAGAAATGAGGCATTTGATGAGGCAAGGCGAATGCCATGCGTGCTGGCTGCCTCTCCTGATTAGATTAAAACTCAACCATGTTGCTTTTGATTATGGGGTGATGACAGACGTATAGAGCCAGATTAGCTGCTCTCAATACCAACGGTGAGTCTAAGAATCTGACTACCTGCTGAAGAGGTCTAGTCTGGCACAAACCACACACCTGCTCATTACTGCTTTTCAGTATCACAGGGCCCTCTAGCGGCCATGAGATGTTCAACTATAGAATACTTGTGTTGTAAGGTTTTCATCACTCTGATGTTCAACGACTATGACCTCAAACCTAAAATTGTATATTTATATTCTGGATTTTTGTCTGGGCACTTAATTCTCAAACAGGGACTGGAGGCACTGTGCTTGGGACGGGAGCAGGTCCTGGAGGCGCTGGAACTGGAGCCGCAGTGCCCGCTGGAGGCAAGACACACATGATACATTATTCCTTTTATGTTATTTTGCACTTTTTATGTTTGTCATACTGTGATCTCGGCCTCCCAAGGACTGGAAACACTGCTCCCATTACCTTTAACATTTCCACTTTAGGATTTAGGAATACTACCAACATCTCATACCACAAATTGGCTCTTCGTCAGGTATAAGACTTGAATGATTTCTCAGACGAAGAGCCACCTTGGGCACCAAACATATTACATTTCCTAATGTGATAAAGAAAAAAAAAATTAAAGAAAGTGGTTGACTGTGTTGAGAGTTCTTGGGACGCCGGAATCATAGTTACAGTTCTTTGGACTTAGCACCAAACAAGAAAGATGTTTTTTAACACTGTATATGTTTCATGTGCCTTTTTTTTCAGTGCCTGTTATTCCTCAGACAGGCCTCCCGGGAGGTGGTGTTGGTGCTGGAAAGAAAGCTGCCAAAGTGCCAGGTTTTGTAGACTCAACAATAAACTCAAAAGGCTGAAGACAGACAGGATGCAGTTCACTAGGCAGCAGAGCCGCATCAAATGTATTTTTTCTTTGCATGTGCAATTACCATTGCACTTCAAATACAACATAGTTTATTTGATGTGCTTTACAGAGCAAGGATACATAATAAGGAACAAAATAAACGTTGGATTTATAGTATATACATTATACATGCATACATACACTAGCCTGTGAAATGTAATGTCTACATTCTTATTTGTTGTTATAGGTTTTGCTTAACTTTGACTCTGCTGTGCTAGTAAGAGGCTATGGAAAAATTAACTAATTTTAAGAATCCAACTTCCAATATTATGATCTCTCTTCCAAAGAGGATTTCACTGATAAGAAATGAGATATAAACAGCAAAAGAAAGATTACAGACAACAAATGTTGCCAGATGCCAGCAGCACCCGCCTGGCTTTGCTGCATCCTGCCTGGCTCTTTTTGTTGTAGTGTTTTGTCATAATGATTGACAGGCATGTCATTTTCCTTTTCAATAAATGCTTTAAAAAACAGATTTTTGCTGCACATCAATGCCAGATCCCTCTCATATTTTTATTGTGGATGCAGAAGTGAAGTACTATCCTCTCATTTGCTTTGGCAGGTGTGGGCGTGCCTGGACTTTACCAAGGTGGACTGGTGCCAGGACAAGGTTTGTCTTATTCATAGATTAATCTCAGGCATTATTTCTCACTATTTGTCAAGTGTTTCAACATTGGACTGCTCAATGTTTTTACAAACGAGGACTGTACAGCGATTTAATGAGGCTTTTCTTGTGGGGGTTGCCTATGGCTCCTTCAGGGTTTGGTGGACGCGGAGTTCTGCCTGGGGTTGCCACAGGAACTGACCTAAATTCCAAGTCAAGTAAGATTACATTTTTTAATCATGATTCATTTTGAATTTCTTTAATCACCATTGAGGCTAAAAATCCTGAGTGAGTTCTGGCTGGCCGGCCATTCCTTCAGTGTCTAATTGGATTATGTGATTTATCTTATGCAGTTGGAGGGGGAGGACAAGGGGGTCAAGGACCAGGTAAATTTATTTGTGATTTTGCTGTATTACAAACACATATATATTTGTATTATTGGTATTAGCTGATTAGGATTTAACTTGATTTATTTTGTCACAGGAAGCCGCGGGTACGGTGGGCCGATGCAGCCCGGTGTGTTCCATGGATACCCCCTCAAATCACCCAAATTACAAGGTGTGGTCTGGATCTATAACTGTGTTATTCAGAAGTTGAACTCTACAGTTCATATAATGATGATGATGGTGATTTATCCAGCATACAGACAGTCATACTCGCCCTATAGAAACCTCTATGGGTACCGCCCTAAGGTTTTCTATGCTGGGTTTATCACTGGTTCATTACAAAGAGAGGACTCGTGTCTTAAGGGACCCTAGAAACTTTTTATTCATTTATTTCCGGATATCAACTTTCTGATGCCTCCAAAAGCCGAACTTAGCCTCCATTTACCTGCTTTGTAGAGATTCCAACAGCAATGCTACTGTGCTTCTAGTCCCTTAGTGGATGAGCCAATTCATGCTGTAACTAAACTTTGCTCAAATATAGTAAGCTCGCCAACTCACACATGTCCATAAAACAGCTGTAAAATCACATCAATGAAAGGATGACAAGTCTACAAAACTGAATTCATTTGAAAAGATCTATTCTGTTACTATGATTTTTTTCTTACACTACTCTAATTGTTATGATTGTCCTCATAATCACAACTGTATGATCACTGAAATGGTGGTCTTGCCTTTAACATATTACAGGTTATTATCTGGCATTTATGCCTATATCTGATGGTTAAGAGGAGATGATGACGGTAGAGACGGAAAGAGACAGTGGCCAGACATTTGACCACAATCTTTAGCCATACTGAAACATGAGGTTTTCAGTGTACATGTGATGTGTTTAAATGGCTTACATTCTTTTTTTATTTCGACATCTAGAGAATCTGGTATGTTTTACATTTGTAGATGAGAATTACTCTCCAAACATGGCTTGCCGATTTTTGCCGTGTGCTATAGGTGATATAGAGTCAACAGTATTAACTTGAGACTGTTTCATAACCTGTTACACATTCCTTGTATTAACTTTAACCCTTTGTTGCATCTGATCATGTGTGTATGCACTGAATCATTCTGGCTCAACATTCTCTCAAATGCTGTTTTTTTCACCTTCAGGTGGCTACGGAGCAAAACCTGGAGGTGGCAAACTGCCTTTTGGTAAAAATATATTTTTTTAAATGTTCTGCAAAAACTTTGGAATATCTGTTGCATCAGCTCAATGATTAATGATGCCTCACATTACAATGTTTCAGGTTACGGCTTTGGAAATGTTGGCGCTGGACTTCCGGGAGGAATAGGTGGCCCCGAGTCAAGGCCTGGATATCCTGTTGGAACTGGTGCGTGTTTCTACGAGTGTATTGTTCATTGATATGGAGTTAAAAGGTAGAATAGACCAAAGAATACGTAATATATTTTTTCTTTCTGCAGGAGTGGGACCCGGGGGCATCTCACCCGCTCAGGCTAAAGCTGCCAAATATGGTAGCCTACCACATTCATTACCATTTTTTATCAAGAAAAACAAAATACAAGTTGTGTAACATCTGTACAGAATATGTGTGTATGTAAAGTGTGTGCTCTCTGCTGCAGGAGGTGTTGGAGGTGTTGGAGGTGTTGCCGGCACTGGTGGTCTGTATCCAGGGCAGTTGCCAGGAGGTATGATTTCCGAAAAACAGACTTAAAAAACTAAACTAAAAGTCTAAAGCCATGTTAGCCCCCTCATGGCTAAATAGTTTATTCTACACCAGAAATAGAATTGTGGGATGGTGGAAAATAAAAAGACATAGTCTTTTTGGAAGAACAATATGGTCAGATGTGGCTTCCATTATTTTTTTATTTAGATTATCTCAACATGTCTTGCCCTTTGGGGACTGTGTGGTAGAGGCAAAAAAGCTGCACAAGTTAAGCAGCACTGTAGACAGGAGAGAGATTTTTTGGTGCAGGACAACCATGATAAAATTAACAAATGAATAACACAATTAATACGTGATAAAATTTAGGGGTCCACAAGAAAGAAAGAAAAAGATCCAAACAACTAAGCTGTTACCAAACTAACTAAAAATGAATAATTATTCTGTACCAATGAACTACATGACTTAAATCTTAACTTGTACTGGGACTTACTAATATCTACAGTGGTTTAATATCGTTTTTTCTTTCTGCAGGAGTGGGACCCGGGGGCATCTCACCCGCTCAGGCTAAAGTTGCGTAACATCAGTACAGAACATTCTAGTATCTTCATAAAGTGTGTGCTCTCTGCTGCAGGTTTGGGTGCTGTTGGAGGTGTTGGAGGTGTTGGAGGTGTTGCCGGCACTGGTGGTCTGTATCCAGGGCAGTTGCCAGGAGGTATGATGTCTAGCAAAAGACATAAAAAACTAAACTAAAAGTCTAAAGCCATGTTGACAGCCTCATGATTGAAAAGTTCGTTGCCTTCTTTTTAGTTTTTTTCTATGTACTTTAGTTGTAAACACGTTATCATATGCTTCCCTATGTTTACATATTTTACAGCTGGATATGGAGCTGGGTCCAAGGCTGCTAAATATGGTGAGAACTTTCATGTTTTTGTGTCATTGAAGCTTATTTAAAATCATCTTTTTTCATCTTTATTTTTTTTTATTTACTCATTCTGTAGCTGAAAGGTACTTAGTATTACATTGGGTTTAGTAAAAAGCTCTCTCTCTCTGTCCTGGAGGAGTACCTGGAGGAGTACCAGGAGGAGTACCTGGAGGAGTACCAGGAGGAGTACCTGGAGGAGTACCAGGAGGGGTACCTGGGGGGGTACCAGGAGGAGTACCGGGAGGTGCACCAGTGTTTGGTGGATATTCACCAGCAGCCAAAGCCGCTAAATATGGTATGGTATATAAAATGGCATGATCATATGCTCCCTTTTTTTACTTAACATAATGTTGCTATGTGAGCTATACAAGTTGTACTTGTGTCTTCACAATTACAAAATTCTGTGTACACTATATGGAGTAAGTATTAGCTATAATTGTGTTTTGTCTTGGCCTCCCTTTCCCATATGCATTGAAGGACAAGGAGGGATAGGAGGACAGTTAGGGAGTGGGGGACTCGGAGGAGGTGGAGGATATTCTGCTGCTGCCAAAGCTGCTAAATAGGGAAAGCAACTTTTTTTGTCAACTAAAGATAAAATCCAATTATGATCAGGAACATAATTATTTTGTTTTGCTTTACTCGAGTCTTTCTTGCAAAAGAGATCTGATCTCAGTAACATTACCTGATTTATCAAAGGTTATACCTGTACTATATATACTACGTAGATGGAATATTATTTTTGACTGCAAAATGTGATTTCAGTTGCACTCAAAGACTGTAACTGGACATGGTCAGCCTTCATCTAGAACAGATGGCTGACTTTGTGAACTCATCAAATGTTTATGTTGAAATGTGAACTGAAACTAAAGTTTTTGTGGTGGTGGTAGTTGTTCTGAAAGTATACAGCCTACAGTAACACAACCACATCAGGTTTCTCATTGTACTCACAAAAGCATCTTTTTATTTGGTCTATTTTAAGTTTTTCGCAGCAAACTCATTTCAGTTGATTATATTTAACCATGCAGCTTGCTTTACATAAAAAGGCTCATTAGATAAACTTGTTTTCCACAGGAGTAGGGGGAGTTGGAGGAACAGGAGGCCTGGGAAGCACAGGAGGATTTGGAGGAACAGGTGGACTTGGAAGCACAGGAGGATTTGGAGGAACAGGTGGACTTGGAAGCACAGGAGGATTTGGAGGAACGGGTGGACTTGGAGGCACAGGAGGATTTGGAGGAACAGGAGGATACTCAGCTGCTGCCAAAGCTGCTAAATATGGTAATTATAAATTACTGTTATCAAATCTCCGAACCTGTCATGTGCTTCCTTTGGGTGTATACTACAGATTCCTGGTATTTAGCGATGTGTGATTCACATGATACCAAGGCCAGGTGGTAAGCCAAGACTCTGAGATTGAATACAGAGGGGCTGAGATCACAAGCAATGGTCTGGCTGTCGTGTGTGTGTTTCTTTTTTTACAGCTTTGATATTTCTACCTTTGAAACGCCCAGCAACTCCACGGTCCTGCCAATGCTCAAACCTGGCACTGTACCTGCTATTAAAACTTAAATACAACCTGCTTAATAACACTTTCAGATGCAAAGCCAGAGAGAAAGAAGTGATGTTGCATACATCTGCTTGTGTAGTATGCACAGAAAAAGGGGAAGGCTCACTTTGCCTGCTGTGATCTGCTCTTGATTCTTAATTTCGCTTGATTGTTCTGAATACAATCAATTGTATTGCCAGCAAACTCACTCCAAATTTTGCTATATTAAGACATGCCAATGTTTTACATCGAAATATGTCTTACACAGGAGCAGGGGGACTAGGCGGCGCAGGGCGACTAGGAGGAACAGGAGGACTGGGAGCAGCAGGAGGACTAGGAGCAGCAGGGCGACTAGGAGGAACAGGAGGACTAGGAGGAACAGGAGGACTGGGAGGTGGAGGATACTCTGCTGCTGCCAAAGCAGCTAAATATGGTAGCTGGAATTCAATCTCTGTAAAAATCATATATATTGCAGACCAAAACCATTGCATTTTAAGTAGTATTTTAAGTAAGTGTGCATGATTACATGATTATTTGTTTTCCATTATTAAGGTCCAGGTGGTGCAGGGGTAGTTCCAAGTGGTGGTGCAGGTGGAGGAGTTCCTGGAAGATTCCCCTTTTTACCAGGATATGGATGTAAGCATGCCCCACAGACCTTTGATCTACATGAGTAATAATATTAATCTGGCAACATTTTAAGATCACGTTTTAACCTCTTCTGGGCATGTTGTTTTGCAGCTTTGGCGGCTGGTGCTAAACCTCCTACATACGGTGAGACTGTGGTGTTTACCATTTGACATTGTGTAATGATTACCATGTCATATGGTGTGGCATGACTTATTTATCTCATGCAGTGCTGATCTACTCACTGTTACATGAATCAGATGTTACAATCACGAGTTTTGGAATATTGCGTCTTAAATGGATAATACTGAAGATTTAATTTGGTTTGCTAAAATGGTAATGACAGCAGCTTACAAAAGAATTATGTCATTTGTAATCTTTCATTCATAACAGTGTACGAGAGATTAGTTCTTTATTCAATCCCAAACAGGAGTCCCAGGAGCAGGCCTAGGAGGAGGCGGAGTTCCAGGGGGAGCAGGGCAAGTACTTCCTGGTGGTGGCGGCTATGGTGGTAAGTCATCAAATTGAAAAATCAGAGTAGACAAAAAGGTTTTGTACAGTGAGAGTGTTTCTACTGCTTTGCTTTAGGACAAGTTGATCAAATTAATTGGGTACGGGACAAGCAAGAGTACCTGGTGTAGTACTATGAGTAGGAGGAAACCACAGCAGAAATAAGCATACAGTCATATAGATACAACACAACACATTTTTTTTTTTATTATTTAGAAATGTATTCTGGGTACAGTACAATACTTACTGTAACTTATCCTATTTATTATAAGACTATTAATTGTTAACTAATGATGGAATCTACTTAACTCCCCTTCAATAGGAGTTTTGGGAGGAGTTGGAGCAGGGTTAGGGACAGGAGGACTGGGGGGGGCAGGAGGAGTACCAGGACTAGGAGGCGGACAATACTCTGCTGCCGCAAAAGCTGCTGAATACGGTAGGTGAAAAGAGCACAAAAAACATAGTCAGAAATCAACTAATTCTGGTTGGAAGGTTAATATTTTCAAACTGAATTAGGAGTTGCAGGAGGAGCTGGAGCAGGATTTGGAACAGGAGGCCTGGGAGGGACAGGAGGAGCAGGAGTAGGTCCTGGATTTGTACCAGGACAAGGTGGACAATACTCTGCTGCCGCAAAAGCTGCTAAATACGGTATAATAAATATAGGCACACATTCAGAGACATTCAATAGTGTATGAACTAACTCTGATAGGAAACGATTTTCAATGACTAAAAATCTATTGTCTTACTTATTTTATCTTATGCTCCTTGTTCTTAGATTTCAATAATTAAACTAATCATGTAACCTGCTCCATCTCGCTTGATTAGGAATTTCAGGAGGAGCTGGAGCAGGGTTAGGAACTGGAGGAGCAGGAGTACGTCCTGGTTTTGTACCAGGACAAGGTGGACAATATGGACAATATTCTGCTGCCGCAAAAGCTGCTAAATACGGTACAATAAATAAGCACACAAATATCACACATTCAGAAATGCATAACGTGATTCTGAGTCTCTCTTACTTTATCATATCCTACGTAGATTTTATTCATTGGTACATAAACTACACAATCATACTCACTGTATTGTGTATACAACTGATTATAATAGGTAAGACACAATTGTTGTGTATTGTACAACTCATTTAACTTGCTTTATTTTCCTTCATTAGGTGTTGCAGGAGGAGCTGGAGCAGGGTTTGGAACAGGAGGCCTGGGAGGGACAGGAGGAGTTGCACCGGGAGGAGTTGGGGCTGGAGGTATATGTGCAGTGTGTATGGAAAGACAGTAGAAGTACTATGATTTGTCATCATACAAAGTGATAAAGTTTCAACATAAATATATTGATGGGGGTATGTTTTCATGCAGGATATCCAGGCGGTGTGAAACCACCAAAATATGGTGAGAACCTGGTAATCATTCAGTCATCTTATACAAATGAAAAAGTAATATTTTCTAAATCACCTGCTGACAATTTCCATCCAACGTAAGTAAGGTAGCCCATACCTGATTTCCTCAGTTATGTCCACCAGCTCATGTCAGATGTCAGACCTCGTCTAATAGTGAACCCACTCCCCCCGACCATGCAAAGGACACTTATTTTGACCGCCTGGGTCTGCAATCTCATTCTATCGGTCATTAGCCAAAGCTCAGTCGCAATTTCATAACGGTTTTGGAATCTCTCTAAGTCAGAACCTCACCTGACTTTTCTCTATCAAGCCTCATTGGACCACTTTACCTTGAGTAAATATCATGAGTTATTTCCACCGCAATGTTAGCAATTGTCATCTGATGCTAAGTTACGTCATTCAATTATTGTTTTACTTCTACCATTCACAAACAATAATGACCAATAAACATACATATGTTGTTAAATAACAGTAAACACCAGATTATAGGGTCAGTCCCTGACAAAGAGCAAGTGCTCCTATATCTAGACTTCCCATTTTGTGGCGATATTCAGCCGTCACAGAAAGAAATACATTGCAGAGGAAGCAAATGCCAATTTGAATCTTCCTCTTATTGTTGCTATCCATTCATCAAGACGAGGTAAATGCCCCAACAGAGTCAATAGAGGGAGAAAAGTCAGATAGATTAAAGCCATTATTGTTGGCATTCTAGTTAGAAACAAACGTTCACAAAAGCTGTTTGTGATTTAAAGTAGCAGATAACAGTGGCATCCGTGTGTGCCTCTTGCAGGAGGCGTCACTGGAGAAGGAATTGCAGTGCCAGGAGCTACTCCAGGTACAGTTGTCAGTGGTGGCCCAGATGGTTCTGCTGTCTTGTCGCCAGGTAAAGCTGAGAATACAGTTACATATTTTCTTAGATGACCATTTTTTATACGTTTTACATTGCGAATGGCCTTTTTTTTTTTGTTGCGTTTACAGCGAAGGACGCAGGGCCTGCTGGAACTCCTAGACCAGGTACAGTGAAATGCCAAGACTCTGCATTTCCTGGGACATTTCCTGTTCACACTTTTACACATGTATATTTTAGCTGAAGCTATATCAAGCATATGGGAGGGAAAGTGCCAATTTCCACTTGTATATGGCAAATGCACTCTACCTTGGGGTTACTGCACCAGTACTGTAACATCATTTATCCGCTCCACGTGTTTTTCACCCATTTCCTGCCCACAAAACTCACATGTTGTTTTTAATGCTAGTGCTACCAGCTATTGACCACCTCTAGCTAACAGCCTCCCAGCTGTGGCTGTATCATAGTCCACCTCACAGCTTCTGCCTTTTCTAGTCTCTCTCACGCTTAAAAGTACGATGGATGAAACTGGAACCTGTTGTCTTTTGACAGAGCCCACGCCTATAGCCGCAACTGGCAAGACGCCAGAGGTCCCACGGCCCAGTAAGACTTGCTGTTTGCATGAAACCTTTGACCATGAAGTGAAACCTGTGGTATTTGATATATATTAAGTTGTAGTTGAGTTGTAACGTATTTGCCACTCTGATGTAGTGTGGGACAGTCCTCTCACTATTTGTTAATGTCATTGTTCCTCCTAAAAGAGAAAGAGTCTTTTATTTATTGAAATAAGTCTTTTGCAGGTCATTGTTTTTAAGCATCATCCAAATTTAACATCTTAATGATTTCAGATTTAAATCCTAAAAGCACAATCTGTTATCCAATCTGCTATATTTTTGTTCACCTGTATTAAATTATACAATATGAGAATATACTAATAATTTAAATGGCCAGAAATTACAGTATGGGACTTAGATTTTCAGATTTGAACAATTAATGATTTGTCTTCTCAAATAATGTTTGGACTGTAGAAATCTTATTTTACAAAATAATATGCTGCTTCATTTTGGGACTGTGAAGACAGGCACTATGATATCACTTCACCAACAGTAGGCTACTTGTCCTGTGCTCTCCTTTCCTTTTACTAACACTGACACTCAGCTTGATAGCTGTCATTTCTGGACATTGGCAAATATAATGTATTCATTTAGCAGACATTCAGAAGGAAGGGATACTTTAATGCTGGCATGCAATTTCCCACATGTGATTGCTCTGAAATGTTTACACTTCTTTTGACAATATGAATGCTTGCACTTTTTCCTGACCAGTTTTACAGTTCAAGTTCTACAGCGGGGGATTTTTTAATTATATATTTCCTGAGTTTACATTTCATAAAACCATTGCCATGATAATAATGTGACATTTGATCTCCAGTTTTATATCGGTATGAATAGTAAATGAACTGTGAATCCCCTGCTATAGAATACTATCTATACGTACTTCTGCTGTCTTGACATTATTTCTTTGTCATGTTAATTGTTTGTTTTATATTATTTTGAAAGGAGTATGTCTTGTTCCTGTTTGTTTTTCCCATACCTTCCTTTCTTTTATAATTCCATCATTAACACTGTATATTTAATGATTGTTATAGTAACTAAATCAACCAAACAAAAACATTTTAATTCAAAATTTGCCTTTTTTTGTACTTGTGGTGGATGTGTGAAAACAGGCGGTGGGTTAAAAATAAGTGCATATTTTTTGCAGTTACTTTATTTAATTCTGTTGTATGTCTGTTTTAATAATGTATATTCCTGGCTCTTTTGACAGCTGGTGGAGTTATTCAGCCTAGTGGTAAGTTTTACATAACAAACTTGATCATTGTACTGAATATATAATTACTACACAAAGCTTAATTTGATGATGCTTTTTGTTATTTCACAGCTGGCACAAGTGTTGGTAAGTATGTAAAAAAAATATATTCTCATATTAATATTTACAACAAAAAACGTAACGATTATTATTTTGCACATCTTGTATTCAGTCAATAGATAAATGACCAAAACCCTGTGTATTTATTTATCATAGGTGGAGCAGGTGTTGCAGCTCCCTCTGGTGGTAAGAGACGTTTTCTTTTTCTTTTGCATGTAAATTTAATCTGATCTATTAATCTATTTACAATATTCTGTAGTATTTGTACCAAATGTAGATTGCTCTCTCTTCGTCTGTTACCATATTTTATGGAGGATGTTAACTGATGTACCTCTTACCTGTGTTTTAGTTAGTCCGTCAGGCCATGGTCAGCCTGGTAAGTGTAAACTATCTGTTTGTATCTGAGACTTACTGATCTAATAAATAAGACTCACACTGTGATATCAACTAATCTCATTGTTTACCTGGTCATGTGACTTTCATAGTTCAAAGAAAGCCTGAAAAAATAAATCTAAACAAATGATTACAAGTCAATTATTATATGTATGAGAATAAAGTAATAAAAATCAGTTCCATACATAATAATCAAACTAATTTAGTTGCAGTTGAGTCTTAGAAATAACATATAGTGGAAAGCTGAACCATTCTTTAGTATTAATACTATATTTACAGGATTTGCTTCTGTATTCAGTTGCATTTTGTTTTACTTTACCCCACAAGATTTATTTTCCTTTGACGGAAAGCTCTGCTTTCATCCCAACATTTTAGATGGGCTCTCTTTCTATGTTGTGTATGTTTTTGTCCTTTTTGTCTTCATTTGTATTAATTCGTAAAATGTTGTACATAGCTCATGAATAGTCTCTTCTATCCTTTAGTTGTAACTGGAGTCCAACAACCTGGAGGTAGGCCAATATTTATACTTTTATTCATTTAAGAACTCCATGTTGTTTTTAGCCCTCAAGCTATGTTTGTCTTTGAAACTTCCACTTTTTCTTAATTATTTACATGCTAATACTGGTACTTGAGTCACAATGACCACAACCTGTAACTCATGTACCAAACACCCCAAACCAATTCTGATAACATACGGACACATGTCCTGCTTTACACTCCGTTTGCAGTTCTACACCATACTTTATTTTCAAAACACTACACACAACTCTCTAACATTTGGCACAATCTTCATGAATAAAATCTCCTATGTTCACATGGAACACCCTGCCATTCAACATGCTAAACTTAAGACTCCTCACATGGGCAAACATGGGTTGCACAATTGTTCAATTAACAATCAGAGCTTTAGCAATAAAGCTCCAAAATATATATACATAGATATGTATTGTTTTGAATGCAGAGTTATATTTTGCAGGAGATTTGTGGAGTTTATCCTTTTGTGTGTAGAGTTCTAAAAAATATGAGGCTTTCAGAAAACCGTTTGTAAACAATTGAGAAAAACTGTAATGTGATACAATACATCCATCTGGCCACACGGTGGAGACAAAGACAGAGTGAACAGCTATGGTCAATGGTCCCTGCTGCAGCCAGTGACTATAATAATACTAAACCTTGCTGTTTTTAGGTGTTGGTGTCGGCACAGGTGGCAAAGCACCTAAACCATTCTTACCAGGTAATGATGGCTAACAAATCATCAATCAGAATTGATCTGTATAGTAATGTATTTGTTCTAACATTGTGTCCGATAATGCATATAGTTGATTTAGCTCATTCCATGGCCACAATATCAACATTAAATTCATTGGTCATTCAGGTACTGAATATTCAGTATTACTGTAAAAATAATCTTATCTACTCTATGTGACTCTGCAGCAGAAAAAGCGCACAGCTGTGTGACTATCTGTTAAATGATTCATAATGTTAACCCAACTTTTCCTGGAAGGTCCCATTCATGACAGAAGAACAACTTCTACATGCAACCAAGTGTTTGCACATATCTGCCCACTTTCATACGTCTAGATTTGTATAATTTGTAAATGTATTTTTTATCTTTATCTTCATTTCTAAATCAAAACTTCCTAATGATGTTATCAATACTTTGTATTATCCTATTCAATGTTATAGATCATGCTTTCACACACTGTATTTATCTTACTGTGCACATTCTGTCTGGACAGTTAACGACTCAACTTCAACCGATAAAAACGTTGGTTAACATATTAGGAAACGCTGCATCAGGCCTTTCTCTACCCAATTACACCTCCAATAGACTGACTGGTCATCAGTTGTATGCATCAGCACATTGACAGTTGTACAGTATTTCAGCTATTCTGCACTATTTTACCTGAGCTTGACTCGAGACCTAATGTAAGGTGTTTTTCCTGCATTTCATTTAGTCCAACTCAATCAGTCAAATATCAAGATAAATGTTATTGTCCCGGAGAGAGAGCATCCATATAAGACAATAAAGAAAACCAAGAAACATTGAATAAAACGGTCAAAAACATACAATAAGGGGTAAAATTAATGTTACATATTGCATACTTTTCAAGGCAGAGTGTAACAGAGGGGGTAGGATTGTGGCCTTCATAACGTTATGAAGTAAAACAACAAACTAATAATCTTGTGATGATTGTACCTGAAGTCGACATCACATTCCTCTATTATTTTTGATTCATCTCAGTTTTCCAAGTGATAACCTGTTTCATGAAACAATCCACTGGACTGATTAACTCAATAACTAGTGCACTGCTTTTTATTGAAGCTAATCTAAGGCTGCATAGGATGAACGATTGTAATGGGGAATATTCAGTTAAATCTTCACACTTCCAGTCTTCTAACACTTTTACTTCCTAGGTACAGGAGCAGGTGTTGGGCAAGCCGGAGGTGGATATCCCTACGGTGGAACCTATGGAGGCAAGTTTCCTTTTTCTACAAACATTTATAGATGTGGCTGTGATTTCTATCCTGTCTGTGCTTCAGCTCCTCGTGGTGCTGATACCACATCATGTTTGTTTTCCATGTGAAGGCTCATACGTTGTTGTGTTGCGCTTTATTGTAGTTGCGGGTGGAGCAGGAGCAGGAGCAGGAATCCCACTGGCAGCCGGTGGTTATCAAGGTCAGAACTCATTCTGCATTTCATTTAACACGTAAAAATTGACTTCACCCTTTAAACACTAGACACATGTGTCAGTTAATGGGGAAACAAAAAGCATATAAACACATGCTTTTGAGTCATATATTTTTTTTTCCATGATAACATTCATCACCATTTCTTGGAAGAGGCAGCCCCCGACACAAACTGTAAAAGATGAGCTGACCGACCAGACAATAATGCTACTTTTCTTTGTCATCATGATTCAGGGGGATACAGGCCATATCATCATGGTTATGGCCAGGGTATGTATGAGAGGAGGCTGACAGCACTGTTACACAATGTTCCCCCGACTTAAAAAAAAGAAACTAGAAGGTTCTGCCCAGTGCTCAAAGTGTCAGTTGGTCAGGAGATGCCATCGCGTTGCACTTCCTGTGCAGGAAGCTGACCAGCATGCTGATAAGTTTCTGTATGGGGCTCAGTTTCAGGAAGGAGAAACCAGCCGGATACTTTGATAAAGGAAATCAACTGGTGTTTTAATTTTCCAGTTTTTCTTTACAGGACAGCTATGGGTGAACCATGTAAGAGTCTTAAACACCACATCTAAGCCAGTTTTATTTCTCTTGTTACAGGTGGGTTGACTTATCCTTCTGTAGTTGGACTGGGAGGTGCTGGTGCTGGTGCTGGAGCTAAACCACCCAAACCAGGTAGTGTAACAGGCCTGCTTCCCACTTTAATATTGCTAGAATGTTTTAGTACTGGTAAAGAATCATGTGTTAGTCACAAGTGCTGTTTTTCGTTTCCTTTTATTGTGACAAAGATTCTGCTGAAGATATTAGAATGGATGTATTGACATTTATTGTATTAAAGAAACATTTGCGGTATGAGTCCAGCGTCCAGCTCCACCAAAGGCAGTAATCCCTGAAGAATTACAGTACCGTTAGGAATTTGTAAACCGAGCAAGTCAACAACACAACATTTCCTGATGAAGACTGATTACTGCTATAGTTATACTGTGTGCAACATCAAAGTGTGACTGTTTGAAGATAACACAAACCCCCGGAGAGTCCTGCCCTGAAAAAACGTTTGGATGAGGTTGTTAATGTGACCTCAGCTGAGCCACTGGCTAACTGTCACTTCAGGGGCAGAAATGCTAACAGCTATAGACACCACAAAACTGATAATGAGTTAAACCCACTGCACACAAAGCCATAAGAATAGACACATTATCACGATTTGTTTCTTTGCTTTTCATTTCAACAGGCTACGGCAATGGTGGCGGTGGAGGTGGCGGTGGCGGTGTTTATCAGCCAGGTGAGAAGCGCCGCATGTTTGTTCGATATTTTCTGCTCCTTTCCTCCTGTATAATCTCTTTTTTTTTGTTTAAACAAACAAACAAACAAAAGAAGACACAACAGAGGGTTAATATGGCCCACATTTGGCTTCAGATGTCCACAACACACTTTACACTTTGGGGAGTGTAGCTTCTGGTCCTTCCTCTCCTCCTCTGCTCATCAGTGAGGATGAGTGTAATCATAAAGCTACAGCCTCCTCTCACTGCCCCACAGATACTATACGAGCATTAAACCTCACGGCCCTAATCCTCCTCCCAATGGCCAGAGAGATACTTGTCTGTGTGAAATGCTTCCACAGATGGTTTAATAACTTCCCTCATTTGCCAGTAGAGAAGAGAGCTTTGCCAAATGGAGAATAATTATTGGCTTCCACATAAATAGGTCAAGTTGTCATATTCACTGTATGTACTGCATGTATCACTAGGTTATTGATTCACAAATAACCTAAAGATGTTTAATGCTTATATACAGTATTTCAACACTAATTATTATGTTGAATGGTCAAACTCGTATTGTCAGTTTACACACTGATACAATTTTACTGTCAATGAGTCTCAATGGTAACTACTTTTTAATTTTGCAGGTTGGGCTCCTGTGGCTCCTGGTTATGGAGGAGGTTACCCCCAGCAGTACTACCAAGGTACTAGTGCTGCCCAGTGAAGAGACAAACATTAGTAATGTGTTGTTGGTAAACTTCTTTATTCTTAGTAGTCACCTTTGAGGACCATCGGTTGTGTCATAAATCAGTGGAAAGGACCCAACAGAAATCGGAATAGGGTCATTTACCTTAAGGAGGTGGAGGTGAAGGAAGAAGACAGTATTAGGATGCTGTTTGTGTGTGTGTGTGTGTGTGTGTGTGTGTGTGTGTGTGTGTGTGTGTGTAAGAATGCAGGTGTGCTTTGTTTGCCTTTACTGAGGTGTTTGCGTCCTCTCTGAGACCTTTGCAGACAGCGCAGGTCCAGCTATCAGATAGAGAAATGCCATGATACAGAGATGAGGCGAAACAGCTTCTTTAGTAAAGAGGTGAAAGGAGAGAAAAGCCATCAGCACAAAGCAGACTGCCTTCAAGATAATATGATCGATAAAACTACTACAGCAGGGCGGCTCAATCAGTCATTACATCAACCAGCCGACCGCACAAAACCTCTGCCAACACAGATGGCAAGCATGGACGAGTAATCAAAGCTGCAACGATACAACATTGATCCAACAATATGCAGACGCTGTGTTGCGGATTGAACTCTGAACTGATCTGTGCTCAGCACTGTTTTTCTTGTTTATAGCTGTTTTGCATATGAGAGATGGCATGCAGCTACATATTGCTCTCAAATTTCAGAAGAACTTCGTCACATGTTTTATTTTCCAGTGTCTGTAAAATATCCAACCGAAGGCTCATAATGATGCAGTAAATGTAATAAATACAGTGTATGATGTTTTACTTTTCAGCTGCAGAAACATGATCTATTGCCAACAATCGTGTTTGCAATATTTTGCATACAGTACTGAAGTATCCCCTGTATTGTCTTGTGCACCTATCTTATGATTCCCACACCTGTTCAGATCAAGTGTAATGTTTAAAGTTTCAATCTAAAAAACAAGCTGAAATAATATCTGCTTTTATGTTGAGAAGGTGACAATATGCACTTACTGTCACTATGATGCGACAAAGGGGCTTTTAGTGGAGAAGTTTCAGTCGGTTGCAATCAATATAACTTCATGCTATCACAGATGCTACATCGGATCTGTCCGGACTCTGCTGTACCTACAAATAGTTGAAATATTATTACTTTTTTTTTACCAAAAATTAAAATTGAATGTTGTCTGTAATGATGAAGCATTTTCTGTGTTGTTTGTTTGAAATCTGGAGCCTCAGTGAGGATTTGCATTGAAGGCGAGATAAGAACAGAGATGAACAGTCACATGCAAACGCACATCAGCGATTATTACACCCCATCAAAGAACTGCTGTTGATTTTATGCATATTGAACGGTAAAACCATGGACACCAGTACATCCTGTAACCTCCGTGTCTCGTGTTTCAGCCGGAGGAAGTTTGCCCGTCTGTGCGGGATGCAAACAGAGGATCTACGATGAGGAGTACCTCCAGGCACTCAGCAACGACTGGCACACCGTCTGCTTCAGGTCTGTTCAACACTAAACTCACCGACAGCAAATCAAGTAGCTTTTAGTTTTGTATTAAAACAAGCATTTTCAAACACAATCTTTTGTGTTTGAACTCTTCTCTCAGTGCACCTTTTTACTGTACTGGTGATATGAATACTGCTCTGCCTCCTCCTTGTCCTTTTTTGTGAGAAAATCTCCTTTAATTGTGTCTTTTCTTCTTTCTCATGAGTTTTTGCTTTTGGTTGTCAGGAGATCGTGTGACTTTTCTCTTTTGGGTTTTCTCGTCTTTGAGTTAAACTCAGGTTCAAAAGCATTGTTTGAATATTGTTATTGTATCAGGCAAGAGACGGGTTCAGGTGATTTGTTTAACACCATGTGTTATTACTCCTATAACTCCTGTGACGCACCTCACCACAGAAACAATGTCTCTCACACCTGAGCAGCCTGAAAACCTGTTTAAATAATGTTTACAAAAAACAAATACACATAGAGACATCATCGAGCATTGACTTTGATTTCAAAGTTATCTGAGACTCTGCTCCGTCTTCCTTATCAACACATGTCAACCGTACTTTGTGCCGGTTTGTGTTTCAGTCTCAGGCAGCTTTCTCTCTACATCTCAGCAGCTATAGATCGATGAGATTGAAAAAGCTTATTTGAAGAGTGAGTGTGTGAATATTGAGACTGTTTACAAGATGCCTTCAGTTTGTTCTCAGTTGGATTTCTGATGAATTGTTCTGCAGCACGTTGTGTGTGTGTGTGTGTGTGTGTGTGTGTGTGTGTGTGGGCAGTGAGACTTCATGTGTTTCTGTGTGAAAGAAATCTATTCGTCACATTGTTTGGATTTCAACCAGTATGTTGATTTTAACATTGAGCACAAATCTTGTCTGTTGTTGAACTGATCTGATTTGTAGAAGACAGAAATTACAACACTTTAGCAGCCTCCCAAACCATAGATTATATATATAGATATTATTTGATTATTATACATTGCTATTATAACCCTGCCTTTCAAGCTTAGTAGCTGACCCAGTCGTCACATTTTGAGACTCTTAAGGACTTCTCATGATGGGATTTATACATTTTTCCAAAGATTTAACCACACAGATTAAATCTAGATTCTCCAGTTGCTTCACATTCTCTCTGTAAGCATGTTTCACGAGGAGCTCTCAGCTTATGTGTGTCTTTGACTGTTAGTATGTATGTGTGTCGTCCCGACCGGACTATAAAAAGTGTGAGTCACTCAATCTTCAGATCAATACAGTCGCCTCAGGTCATACAACACGATGCATTTGAGAACATGAATGTAAAGAGATTCACAGATGGAGGAGACACACTAATGGCCATTGATTCTACACTCGAAACTGAAATTTGAGACTTCCGCTTTTCATGACATTTTAGATTCTTATATTGGTTATTTGGAAGCATAAAGTATCAGACAAACATTTTTCACCACTGGAATTTCCCTTCAGTAAATGAAAGCAAATATTTATCGTATGAAGCCCTCCGTGCAGCAGAAACTTAAATACAAAATAAATGAGCAGAAACTGAGACCTGTTTATTTTGTTGTTTGATGCATTCTCTCTCACACAATGTGATACCATGACACTGCAGCAAAAACATGACCAAGCTCTATGACTGATCAATTCAGCGCTGATAATCTCATTAAGATGAGTCAGGAGTAATTCACTTTGAAAGTAGGCCGGTTTTTACAAGGCTCCTGTATGTATTATTAATAGGACACAGTTGTTGTTGTTGTTGATGTTGCTGCAGCTTTCGTTCCTGATGATCTTATGTAATATCTCCACCTCTTTCTCTCCGTCTCTCACATCTATTGTAGAGCCAACTTTGTTTCTGACAAACAGGAGATCAAACAACTTCTTGTCGAGGAGTTCTGACTGAAACATTTAGTTATTTGCCTCACAACACTCAGAAATAACCATAGTTCCTGAAAAGAGATGGCTGGTCCTGAGGGGCTTGAGGGGCTTGCAGGTTACAGAGGGTCTTCCTGACTCCACACTGAGTGTCAAGTGGCATCACTTGAGGCAATTTATCAGGACAGTGTATCTAACATTAGCCACATGAGCTAATATTAGTTGGTGATGCATTATGGCCAACATTAGCTCGCCACAACACATTCAGTAATAGTTTACGAACATCTTGTCTAGCGATACCAGATAATGGGAGATCTCTGAATGTCTGGGGATTTCTAAATGCAAAGTCCAACGACAGCAAGAACCGCCGCTACCAAACCTCCGCCCCTTATATGTCCTGGACTCGGACAGGCCAAACACAACCGTTTATCTACATTTGTGGTGCCGCGTGGGGATAACATGCTGTTGTTGGTCGTCTAAGAGGCGGCTCCGGGGGTGCCTGTTGTTGTTGTTGTAGAATCCAATTAAAGGTTGAACATGAGACATGCTAACTTCAGGGTTTAGAGGCAGCATGAGAACTCTGAGTTAGTTTTTACTTGCTTGAGGCACGTAGAGCTGATTAGGTCTGCGTATCTTTTCTTAACAGGTAAAAAAAAGTAATGCGACTCTTTTGTTTAAATGTTTTTGAAAAGCTCCATCTGCATCGTCAACGTCACACCTCCTTTCACTCCGTTAATCTGAGCTGGTTGGCAGGTTGCTATGTGGAAAACTCACCTCTCAATGTGTCGTTAATGATTTCCCCCGGCTGGATGTCTGAATGGGAAATCTGAGCAGGCTATCTTCTATTTTGTGTTGTGCGTGTGTGTGTGTGTGTGTGTGTGTGTGTGTGTGTGTGTGTGTGTGTG